CGTTGGTTGTGAGTTAGGGCGCTGGTTGATGCCGGTAGTAGCCTCTGAATTTTTTATCTTAAGAGAGAGAAAAACGCGTTCTGGGTGAAAGAATTTGGTTTGCAGTTAAGCTAAATTATTTCTTAATAAAACAGGCATTCCAGACGCAATCTTGTGTTCTACCTCACCGTTCAGACGACCCTCTGTTCAGATCCGGAGGTCAAGGGAGGATGTTGATTAGCCTCGGGGTACTCGGTCCGGTAGGGAAGACCAGTGGTACCGACTCTCTGGTCCTAGAGTTGCCGCAGGCACACAGGTGGATGGTTTGCGTCTTAAAATTAACTCTGAAGGAGTTTTGCGTCAGCTTTGCTGCAGATGTTGAAGCAATTCTATCAGCGTGACAGAAAAGCTTTAGTAGAGGTTTCGAACGGCTGACTCGATCCTCTGGACTCTCGTCACCACGGAGAGAATTTGGTGAGCTCAAGAACTGAACTTGAACTGAGGAGTTAGGTTTTAAGAGACGGCCGGTAATCTTATTCTATCGATTTAGATTTTGACATGTAGATTTAACATACCTCAGGACACGCCCTCCCAAGATAGAAAGCTCTGGTGTAATGGAACAAGGACATGTGAATGCAGTTAACCTTAACCTGATGACTGTGTCCTGCATGGTGTGTATAATTGCACATGATCTTCTTGTCACTGTTAAACATTACTGATTATCATACATTTATAATGAACGTTGATGATTATTTATGAACATTGTAATAGACAGTGAAAAGAGTTTATTAAAATGATTCTTTTAAATCTTGAAGTGTCCTTCGTCTTGCGGATGGAACAGCAGTCAGATAAAGGCAGTCAGATTAAAGATGGTTTACAGCAGACTTGTGTCTCCTGTGATGGATAATCTGTAGATAGAAGTACAGCCAGGACAGCTTGACCCAGCTGAGGAAGTGTGGCCTTTGGGTCACAAATGAGGCCATTCATGTCGCTACACAGTGATTGTCATCATTCATGACATGACTGATATCTAAATGAACAATTCGTCATGTGGCTAATCGGGCCTGTATTGGCGCATTCACATCTGGGGCAGCACAGACCGGACTGCGTCGCGTCGGTCCGGGTCCCGCACCAGTAGGTTTTGTTTACACACACTTCTTAGGAACGGGGAAGTCTCCAAGCTAGTAGGCGGGGCTAAAGACACGCAAAATACAGACATGAAAACGGGTCAAGGGTGAAAAAGGTTAGACTCCACATCAAAAAATAGCCGCACACACACACACACACACACACACACACACACATACACACCCTCCCCAGCAAGTGAACCTGCTGCAGATGAAGGTACCAGTACTTTTGAACATTAACAGGGAGAGCAGAACTGGTCCTTGAAGGCCACATGGCTGCATGTTTTCTACGTGTCCCTGCTCTCAGAGTAGCAAAGCCTTCGTCTACCTTCTGCTAACAAGTTTCTGTTCCTCTGAGAAGAGACAAAGACGGAGACATGTCAACCACATGTCCCAGTATTGTCCTCAGCTCTGAGGACGGAGACATCAGGTGACGGGGGAGTTGGTTGGTCTTTCCCAACAGCATTTTGAAATGCGGAGCTGTCACAGAAAGCACAACAGAAGCACTGACCGAATGCATCAAATGCACAGGTATTCAGCACAGAGATGGTTGATGCCCCAAGCCTAACAGGCTAGTTTAGGTTTCCCTTTTTTAATAATCCCACCTTCACTCTTTTGGCAGTAAAAGATGGATCTGCATGGAGCCATTCAGGACAAGGGGAGAGGTAGGAAGTAGTGGTGTTCATCTCTACCTGCCTCATGATTCGATCCGATTCCGATTTTCTGCCTAACGATTCGATTTGAGTCTGAAATGCATCACGATTCTTCACACAAAAATTTTCATTACTTAATAAAAGCAGTAGAATAGTTTTCAATTTCTTTTTGATTTCGAAATCCCTGAAAAACAGAACATTCATCTATTCACTATAGTGAGCAATAATGTTTAAAGTGTGCTGCCTATAATTACTTAAATAATATAAGAAATAATGTTTTCAGTAGAGCAGCTTTAAGATAGAATATTACTGAACTTAAAAATAGTAAACAAATACTGTGTTAAGTGATTCTTTCACATCCAGGATCCCAAAACAGAAATTAGCCCAGACATCCGATTTAAATGTAACGGGTACATCTTTGATCACTGGTAATGTTGGCCCTGTATCCCTGTCCGCCTCTGTTTTAAATTGCTGCTAGGACAACGCAGTGCGCATGTCATTGCAACTCTGCCCCCAGAAGTAATACCTCAAAATGTTATTGTCCTCGCATAGACATAGACCAGGGGTCGGTAACCTGTTCCCATCAAAGAGCCATTATTACCCGTTTCCCACAGTAAAGAAAACACTGGGAGCCACAGCAGCCGCGGCATTGTGGGCGGGGCCTACCCTCAGACAGCAGCCAGTACCGGTCGCTCGTGTACGTCAAAGTTATCTTTCATAAGACGATAATCAATAAAACGATTTATATAAAGTGGATCCAGAAGTTGTAGCCCGTCTCTGCCGACAATATTTTGATATTTTTCACCCTGTTGGTGGTTTTACTGAGCAGGTGCCACTTTTGTCATACGTTTCTTTTTAAAACATGTTTAGACTGTTCAGAATACAAATCCAGGCTCTGTCACGTTTGATTGTTGTAATTAAACTTTGTAGGTGGGGAAGTTCAGAAAAGGACCGGATCAATTTGTTTTTCCCTCATTTACAGTGACGGAGACAATGGTGCAGTGCGCCTGGCTCTGGTGTTAATCAAGTTAAATTATATCTATTTGCAACAATTTTCACAAGAAAACAGAACAGTTAAAAGCAGGGCTTGTGTTGTGTTGACCGGATAGTTCCCATTTTTGACTATTTATTTTGACAGAGAAAGAATAGAAAGAATTACCCCGACGCATGCAGACGAACTGACATTTTATTAGTTTCGCACATCGCAGATGTAGCTAAATCACTTAAGAAAAGATTCCCATCTGAGCTGGACACTGCTCAGCGCAGCTTGCTGTCAGCGTGTACTACATAAGGTCCACAGCGAGCTGAAGATGTGGAGAGGGGCTTGGAGCGCGTCGCAGAACCAGAGCGCATGCAGGAAGATTGCTCCGACTGAAGCGAGACTTGTCACTTAGAAAATGTTCCCTGATTATGAAACTTTGGCTGAATAGCACTTGTTCCTGTCTCCAATGTGGCGACACATCCAGGAGCTGAGGAGAATCCCAGAATCTCACATCCTCGTCAGCTCGCATATGATTATGCACAAGCGTGACGCGTCTACCCGGTCTCACAGTAAGACCGGGTTGGAACTGTTCAGGTTTACGCAGACAATCTTTACATTTAGAATTGGCTTACAGATGTAAAATTAATGCAGTAAAATATAAAGCATTTTATTTAAATATCCATTCATTATTTTACAAGCACAGAGAGCCGCATCAGATGGATGGAAGAGCCGCATGCGGCTCCAGAGCCGCGGTTGCCGACCCCCGAAATAGACATAGGGAGAGAATCTCATTATGTCACGTTGCTGCATCGATGCGGAATCATGCAAGGCTGAAACGCGATGCATCTTAGAATTGATAATTTTTCCCACATCTAGTAGGAAGTCCTCTTCCATTTTTGGGAGGAACTGCGAGATCCCTCCAGTTTTCAACCTCATCTGTTGTAGGAATGTTTGTGGCACAACCAGATTCCACCAAATGTTGAGTTTCCATTTTTATCTTGTCTTCTGCTCTGTGGGTAGTCCTGGAGGAGGGATTGTCTTCTGTTGCTGTCACTGGGCTCATTGTAGCCTCATCTTTATTTTGTTCTTTTGCAGAACAAATCCTCATATTTCCCTCCATGAAGAAAAGATGACGAGCAATGAAGCGATCAACTCTAACAGGCAGGTTGTCATGTTGGAAAATCCCACGTTTCACATTTTTGAACAGGGCTTCAACAGTGGCAGAGCTTGCTGTGATGCTGGTGCTGTGGAAGAGAGGGACCATTATTCCTGTCCAGCTCACACTCCTGTGTGCTGGATCCCACCCAAACACCAGAGAGCCAGTCGAGTTGGTATTTTTAAAAGCTGCGCATCCTCTCCTGGTGGTCCAGGCGGTGGTTCTGATCCAGTTTTAACCCATAAACCAGCTCGACTGGCCCACTGAGCCACAAGTCTCTTCTGGTGGTCGGTTCTGACCTGGTTCTGACGGTGATCTGAGCTTCAGAAATCCGCATTTAATTTTTTAAACCTCGCCACGGATCTCTGGGGTCCAGCGCTGACCTCCCTGTCCTGGTACCGACCGATGTGGGGAGGACTCGTCCAGACAGGCTGGAGTTGGTACAGCCTTCACACACTATAGTTTATCAACATGAAGACAATCCAACACGAGTAAACACACACACTGACTCGATAGCATGACCTCTCTACCCTAAAACTAGCCTCTCCACACGGAGCTGAGGCAGCGCCTAGCTTCTAACTCCCTTTGGTTACGTCAGAGGTTCACATTTAGATAAAAGAGCCTTTTTAGAAGCTTTGCTGAGAAAGCACACTTTTTACTAGAAAACTGCTGTTTTAAAACCAAATATCCACAATAAGCATTTCAAATTGTATTTTTTGGACAGCATTTTATATGAATTAGAAAAAAATTTTGACCTGCTATTTGCTCTTTAAGATCAACCCAGCATCCCCCAGTCTGTTTACTATGTTTCATGTTGTTTTATTATGTGTTTATTACATTTTTTGTGAAGCGTCTTTGAGTGACCTAACAAGCGCTATATAAGATTGATGTATTACTATTATTATTATTATTATTATTATTATATTATCACTTACAACCGCAGAAGGCAAAGTGTGTCCCCACTCCCTGTTCAGCTATTTTCCTGCACCAGATCTGGTGTTTACAGATGTTTCACACCTGTGTGAATAACACATCTGTCTAAGAGAAAAACCACTTCTCCAACTCATTTACTTATTTACATATCTGAAAGGTGGCAGCCCTACCTGTGTCCATGCTGTCCAGGTCCAGGTGGTGAAGAACACACGATGAATCAGTCCCAGCTGATGGATGATCCTGAAGTGGTAGCAGGTTTTCTTTAGCCGTGTTTAGCTAACAGCTGCAATAGAAACAAAGCAGGAGAGCTGATTAAGATGCTGCTTCAGAACAACGCAGGAGATTAAAGATCCAACGCTTTGGTTCTGATCAGCTGAGGACAGATCCAGTCTGGAAAAGAGGACCTTTGCTCACCTGAGTTCACGGAGTAGAGCTAACCGCTTTTTCCTCCAGAGTCACATTCAGATTCGGGGCTTTTCCGTCGGAGAGTGTGAGCAGGATGGATCAGAGAGCGAGCAGCGATCCTGCATCATGACCAACTCAGATGAGCGAGTCTGATAGAGGGAACCTCTTCAATCTGATGAAAGCAGCAAAACGAGCGCGTTTCTCAGAGAGGACAAAGGAACAGCAGCAGACCCAGAGGGCAGGAAGTCTAGAGAAAAGCTTTTCTCACCCACAACCTGTGTGCCGGCTTGTTCACATACACGAGAGACACGAGCGTTCCTTTTACTGATGTTTAATGCGGTCTTGCGTCTTCTTACTCTTTACACCACATGAACACCGTAGAACTAATGAAAAAGCATAAATCATGTACAAATTAACAAGTTAGTTGCCTTAAGTTGGCTAACATACAGAATTTGTAAATAAAGAATAAACATACCACTTTGGCCTGCTAGTAGACAAACCGGTAGACTTGAAAACACTTTACCTTCTTCTCAAATGTTCTTAACTGGCACACATTTGTCCGTGCGCAGCAATAAAATCTCCGAAGCTTCGAGATACAGGAAGTGACGTCACAGCGCTCTTAAACATGCCTTATCAAAATAAACCAATTCAAAATTACTCAAATATCAAAAAGTATTAATTCTGTGCACCTGTAAATGCTACAAAATGTATTGAAAAACATGAAAAATAATACTTTCAATAAACATGTTAAATAAACTTACTAGGGCAATCACAAAATCACAGTGCCATCTTGTGGTGAAACTTTGAACAAAAAAGTTACTTAAACTGCATTTACAACCTGATTCTGGAGCTCCGATTGTCACGAAGACCGCAGAATATCTTCTCTGGTTCTGGAAAGAACTCCACCAAGTTGTTGAGGAGGAGAAGAAAGTTTCCACAGCCTGGTGAGAAGATTTCTGCAGCAGCAGCAGTTAGTCGCTTTAGCTGATCAACTCTCCCAGAGACTGTAGTGAAGACATTTTTACTGCAGAGCCTCAAATATTCTCCTCACACACCAGAACAACAATAAGCTAGCTCTGCTAGCAACTTCTGGTTTCTGCTTCTTCTGGTGGTCGGTGACCAGCGTAAAGGTGCACTACCGCCACCTGCTGGAGCAGAATAAAACACACCTGTGTGTTCAGAATGGGACTAATAAATTACATAACATGTGATATCTTCCTCAAACAATTACTTAAAGTAAAGACAAGTTTGTTTTACACCTGTTATAATAATTTTGTTATTTACTTTATTTTTATTTTAATCTTGTTTTTTTATATCTTATCTGTTTTTCTTTGATGTAAAGCTAATTATGTGTCTGTTGTGTCTGCTCTTCGCCAGATCGTTATTGTAAATGAGAATGAGTTCTCTACTGACTCATCTGGTTAAATATATTCATCACACACACACACACACACACACACACACACACACACACACACACACACACACACACACACACACACACACACACACACACACACACACCCTCGTAAAAGAGAAAGGGCAGCTGGGTGAGTGCAGGTGTTGTAGGCACAAAGAAGACGGAAACACCATCAAAGGAGCCAACTGCACCGGGAGCATCAGGATTGGCAGTAGCAGCTCTGGCAAGAGGAGGCACGAGAAGCACCCCGGCAGCCACAGCCCACCGCTGCCCCCGGGGCAGCCAGCCCCCACAGAGGAAACACTGGTTTACTAATGAGACTAAGATAACAAGTTAAGAATCAAATTAAACAAAAACAGCTGATAAATAAAAATCTAAATAAAACACACTGATAAAAGATAACCAAGTAGAAACATTTAATTACATTTATAAAAATATTGCACAACAGATCATAAATACTGGTTAAAAAAATAATTATTGCAAGTTAAAATTAATATATAAGAAAATATGTGTCATTTACTTAAAAGAGTAAGTAATAAAACACTGATAAAATATATAAAAGATGGAAAAACAGGCTAAAACAGATCAAAATCAACTAAAAGCTATACTGAGAATGTGATGGAAAAGTGAGGGTGTTGAACGATCTCAATAAGAATAGTGTGGGTGTTGAATCCTCCACATGCCCCGTGACCAACTAACATTTCATGTTCTATCACCGGATGTTTGGATCAAAATATGAACCAATCAGATCTTAGATCAGGTGAGAGCCAGGCGTTTCCCGTCATCCCCTAGGTTTTGCAGCCGGCGGAGAGCAACTGCAGTGCAGCGCCTTGCTCCAAAATCTGCGGCCGCCTTGATCTTACGAGGTTATCGTTGCCTACGTAAGCATGATGTCAGAGCAAGTCGGCGTCAAGTCGGACATAAATCTAACCGGCATGCACTGCAGGCCGATCACCGCTGGTCTAATCTGCGCAAAACTGGCTCATCTCGATCACGGCCTGTGTCCGACACGTAGCCGGGTTTTTTTAAAAATGAATATCCGCCCCTCCAAAACCTTGCATCCACACCACCGCGTTTAAAAAAAAACTCTGTCCACACGTACCCGGATAAATACGTTGTTAAGGACATGCCAGACCTGTAGGCGGCAGTACTCCCCCCGTTCTTAACCTCGTCCTTCGTCTGTGGTCTTCCGCAAGGAGCAGTAATTCCGCTTGCAAAAACAAACAAGCAAAAAGCGCTTGGACAATTGATAAAGCGAGCGCAGCTCTGAGGGCATCCATGCTGTCGGCTAGTGTAAACACAGGTCGCACACGTGATGTCAGCATTTTTTTGTCGCAGAAAGTGACGTTGCAGATCTTAAAACTCCGGTTTTGTCTGTCCACATGCAGACACCCAAAACGGAGAAAACACAGATCTTCACTTTGGCCGGAGTTTTTAAAAAGATCCATTTTCGTGTGAAAAAACTCCGTTTTCGTGTGGATAACAGGCCAAAACGTAGAAAAATATCTAAGGCCCTGTCCACACGTAGCCGGGGATCTGCCAAAGCAAGCAAAAAGTGTGGATGCAAGTTTTTGGAGGGGCGGATATTCATTTAAAAAAAAAAAACGGCTACCTACGTGTGGACTAGGCCCAACTTGAACACGGCCATTGTTTCCAGCTGGGCGTGTCTGAGAGCTCCCAGCTGCAGCTGATTCCATCATCAGGGCTCAGGGGATTTAAGGAGCAGTGTGACACGTCACCACGCCGTATGATTACTCTGTTTGGGTAGCTCTAGCCTCTAATCTAATTTTTGTATTCGTATCTCATTCTAGTTATCCTGCTGCCTGAATTACCTGAATGCCCTTCCCTGCTTTCCTCCAGGTTCCTCTTCATTTTTTCCTCATCTCCAGAGCAAACCCGGATCTCAGCATTCCAGACCACACTGCTTCTTCCCCTGGTCACCCACTCTCAGCCGCTCACCTGCCATCATCCATTCCTGCTCCTACGCCTCTGGATAAATCAATTCCCTCACCTTCTGGATCTCCTCAAGCTCACGCGGACCTGACCAAACCCTCCCTGTACATTTCTCCACTACCAGGAAACAGTAAGCCCAGCCTCCAGATAAGTCTCTAGTATTTCCACCCTATATTCACTCTGTCTCACCCTACTCAGAATCTCCTCCTGGAATCCTGCTGCCAGTCCTGCGCTTCTTCGTTTCCCGTCTCTCCCTTAGCTCCTCAATCATAATAAAACCTTTGACACACTTACTGGTTTTCTGTGAAGTCATTCTGCATTTCGTGGGTCAAGAAATTGCCACCCACCATGACAAACAGGGGGAAATGTTGTGGGCATTTATTTAATTTGTTTAATTACAACTTGCTTGGTTGTAAATGCTACTGAAATATGACAATAAAGAACAAATAAATGTCAAACTTTTTTCTGCCAAATGAGTGTACAGTTGACGGTTTTAATATATGAATAACACTATGATATGGAATAAAGGTGTCCTTGAATTAATTACAAGACAAAATAACAGTATATATAAAAAAATCCAGCAAGTAGTAGAACGTAATTGAATTAAGTTCAAAATACCCACCAAAAAATTAAACAAGCAGGATTAAAAAGGAAAGGAAACAAGACTGGTATTGGCTTTGAAATGACCTAAGTGGATGACTACATAGTCGGATCCTGAAAGTGGTTTCGTGACCACAAAAGAAACATTGATATAATATGGAACAGAAGACATGTCATTGAATCAACAAATAAAAGACAAAATAACAGCATATACCGTAAATCCTCTAATACAGGCCCGGGCCTGTATTTGACTCAAGCTCATCAAGCTCCAGGCCTTTATTGGAAGGAGGGCCAGTATTAGAGGCAGGCCTCAATTTCTATTTGAGCAAAATGAACTAATGGTTCGCTGGAGTTTTTGACAATTAAAATTGCGCCCACATTTTCAAAGTTAAACACATTTCTTTTAACAACTGTAGTTTCTGCTTCAGCCCTCTCTCCCCTCCCCCTGCGCAGCGGCCGCAAACTCACTGATGCGCCTGCAGCCTCTCGGAGTTCCTGCTGCTCTAAACATTAAAATAATTATTTCATTTTCTGTTCCTCACTTCTGATTACCTTCAATGGTGTCTGTTTGTTGCACCCACCAGGTACAAAAACTAACTTGTTTTTATTTGACTATTTTTCTGTCCTGTCTGTTTATTATCTTCCTGCATCTCCTCTCAATCCTAAAGTAAAACTGCTACCTGGGTTCATATATATTCACCTCATGAGTTACCTTTGAACTGCAGTTCTAAAAGATCTACCGACCGCTAAAACAGCGGAGCGCTCGCTGTTTGGCGGCCGTATCAGTGATCGGTGCGTCGGAGGACAAGGTGATGCGCGCAGCGCCCCGCTCCACAGCATGCAGCGAAACGCATCAAGCGCAAATAAAAGACAGAAAACATTAAAGGAAATGAACTGACATGAACGATCGCGTGTTAAATTAGTTTTTGAGGTGGCGACACCTGGTTGTTACTGTGGCCGTGCTCAGGAGGCAGATCTACCGACCGCGAAAACAGCGGAGCGCTCGCTGCTTGGAGGCCGCATCAGTGATCTGTGCGTCGGAGGACAAGGTGAAGCGCCCCGCTCCACAGCAGCGATACACATCAGGCGCAAATAAAAGACAGAAAACATTAAAGGAAATGAACCGACATGAACGATCGCGTGTCAGTACCTACGGTCCGGCACAGCGCGTTGCCCCCCCACCCCCCCACCCCCCGAGCGCAGGAGCTTGTCACCTGCTGACAGCAGGCTGCTGTCTTTTCCGAGGGCTGCATCTTGCCGGTCATTATCACGTGACAGCGACTAGTCGACGACAGGCATAAAAAGTCACTATAGTGAAGTTGACTAGTTCATACAACCCCTACTGCTGCTCTCCAGAGTGTTCTGCAGCATAATCAGCACGTTCTCTTTGAACTTGATAGTGTAATGACCTGGCTGGGGTTGTAAGCCAGGTGCATTCTGGGTATTGTGTTATATGTGTTTCCTATCGTTCTGCTAGTTCCTATGTGTTGATTTGCGTGTTGTGTGAGTGTAATGTAAGCCACAGGGAAGGTGATGTGTGTTCTGTGGAGCGGGTTGAATTAGCATGGTTAACTGACACCGTGACTCTGTGTGGTAGGAGCGTGATAGAGGATGTGTCTGTAGCGTTACAAAGCGTTGAAGAAAAAGCTTTAGAAAGGTCTGTGTGAACCTCTATTGCCTCCTGCTGGTTGATTTGGGGATTATAACCCTGCCGCTGAGAGGCTCATACTTGCTTGTTACCACATTCCACCCGGCCACAATAAGAGACCCCATTATTTACTTCCGCTGACTTCGACACCGGCCAAAATTGGAGACCCTGAATACTGGCCTGTATTGGAGGATTTACGGTAAACACCATCATAGTGGTATGACTTAAAATACATCACAGTTAATTTCCATCACTGTTGTGACTTAAACTAGTATGCGGAACGGCTCCACCAGCGCTGGACTGACCATAGGGCATAGCGGGCAACTGCCCGCTGGGCCGACCCTTTCATCTTTTATGGGCCGGTGTCTGTTTTTTTTTTTTTTTTTCCTGGCCTCTAGTTG